CTCCATTCCCTCCCCATTCCAGGGAAAGGATACTGCAAAATCCCCATTCCCTCCACACTCCTGGGGAAAGGATACTGCAAAATCCCCATTCCCTCCACACTCCTGGGGAAAGGATACTGCAAAATCCCCATTCCCTTCCCACTCCTGGGGGAAAGATACTGCAAAATCTCCATTCCCTCCCTATTCCTGGGGAAAGGATACTGCAAACTCCATTCCCTCCCCACTCCTGGGAGAAGGATACTGCAAAATCCCTATTCCTCCTTCACTCCTGGGGAAAGAATACTGCAAAATCTCCATTCCCACCCCACTCTGAGGCCAGCCAGAGGTAGTATTTTTCTGTTCTCTGAAGTACTGAAAATTTCCGCTACCGGTTCTCCAGAACCTGCTGAATTTCACCCCTGAGCTGCCCCAAAGGAAAGCTGAAAAGGCTCAAGACGTTGCTTTTTTCCCTAACCCTGGCTCAGGGAGCTATGCTTTGAATTGCAGTGATTGAGGCAAATTGGCCACGGACTCTCGGATCGGCAGCCCCTCAAGCGCAGATCCCGGAGAAGATGATGGGGTAGAAGCTGTCTCTAAAAGTTGTCAGCCATTTTTCTGTGGTCGTGAACAATTTCTCTCCCCCCCCCCCATACACCTAAAATACTACCCTGTGTGCAATTTTTCTTGCCATCTGTTGCCTCTCATCGCCACCCCATGACTAAAAACTACTCACGTAACATTTCATTCTCCCCCTTCCCCACGCAAGTCCAAAACAAATGCAATTTTGGCTGCTCTCCAATCCCTCTTGCATTCTGTTCTGGGTTTGGTTGCATTGTTTTCTCACCCACCCCCCGCCCACCCCAATCCCACCCTGCCCCCGGGTGGTGCTGAGGGGTGGGCCGGGGTGTGTGTGTGTCACAACAAGTGGCCTTATGTCCCTTTTCCCTTCAGGGCCGTGGGCAGCTGGGGTGCCTCCTAATTACATCAGCTGGCTTTGCCGCGATGGTCCCCGGCCCATCCAAACCCTCATCTCATCATGCGTGCCAGCTCCCATGAGGCAAAAGGGAGGCCTGGCCTGCCAGTTTGTATGAGCTGCGGTGGCGCAGTGGTTAGAGTGCAGTTCTGCAGGTTCCTGCTGCTGCCTGCCGGCTGCCTGCAATTTGGCAGTTCAAATCTCACCAGGCTCAAAGTTGACTCAGCCTTCCATCCTTCCAAGGTGGGTCATATGAGGATCCAGATTGATGGGAGGCAAGAAACTCACTCTGTAAACCGCTTAGAGAGGCCTTTAAAGCACTGTGAAGCGGTATATAAGTCTAAGGGCTATTGCTATTTTACGGCAAGTTCACCAGAGTTGCCAAACCACTCAGCTGGTGACACGCAGAGCCCCCTCTGTGGGCACACACGCTGTCCAGCTGCTCTTCTGTTTTCCGGTGTGCACATGCGTGTCAGCTAGCTGGTCTTTGTGAGCACCAGAAAATGTTTTTCGGGCCGTTTACAGGCCATTTTTCAGGCCGTTTATGCGCCTTTTTCAGGCCAAAAATGGCCGGAAAACAGCCAAAACTGGCCGGAGAACAGGCACGCGCATGCCGGGCAGCTGATCTTTGGGTTTCTGGTGCTCTGGCACACACACATGCAGTGCATGCACACACGTGCACACGCCCCATGCATGCATGCATGTTCCGTTTTGGGCACTCTGTGCCGAAAAGGTTCGCCCCGAGTGCTTTAAGCATTGGAGCCCCCTTCCCAACCATACTCTAGTCTTCCAGTAGGTGACACTGGGAGCCCTATCGGCTTCTCTCCCCTCACTCCCCGCTCCCCCCAGGAAACGAACCCTTGAAATCTCTCTGAGCCACCCGTGACTACAGTTTGTTCTGTTGCTTACAGCTCCGGAGGATGATGTGGCCAGTTAGCTGAGGGCAGCCAGCAGGAGAATAGGCTAGGATTGTTTCTTTACCTAAAGTTGTTCTTCGAGTTCTCTTTGCGTAGCTTAGCATCTTAGGGGGTTTCCCAGAAGGCTTTGTAAAGGCGGCGGGTGGGGGCTTTTCTGCCCTGTATTTGGCTGGAGGAGCAGTGGAGGCCCTTCCTGTGTGGATCTGACCAAGTCTGAGTGCTGGCCAAGGCTTGTTTTGTGCATGTCTGGAGAAAGGGGGGGAGGGTTTGAGTGCTGTTTTCCGGAGGGAGGAGCTGGGGAAGGCTGGCCATTGTCTCTTCCAATCCTGGGGGCTTCGGAGCGTCCCCTCCAGGAAGAGACAGTGGACGGGAAGGGGCTTTGTGCCCTTGTTGCCCGCTGGCACTCGCTGTCGTGTCCCTGCAAGGACTCTTCAGTCTCACGGATAGGATTTGGCCAGATACCGTATTTTTCAGAGTATTAGACGCATCTTTTTACCTCAAAAAAGAGGCTGAAAATCTGGGTGCGTCTTATACACTGAATACAGGATTTTTTGCCTCCTGAAACCCCGCACCCTTCACCAAAATGGCCATGCAGAGCCTGTAGGAGGCTTTCAGAGAGCTCCTGCGGGCTGGGGAGGGCAGAAATGAACAAAAAATTGACTGTTGTTTGCTCAATTTTGTCCCCCTAGTCCCCAGGAGCACTCTATAAGACTCCTAAACGCTATGCATGCAATTTTGTTGACAAAAAACAGGGCCGTTTTGGGGAGGTCTGCAGAGTGCAAAAACTTTTTTTTTTAATTTGCCTCTTCAAAACCTTGGCGCATCTTATACTCCGGTGTGTCTCATACTCCAAAAAATACGGTAAATGACCATTGCGTTTTTGTTCGCACAAGTCAAGAGAGAGAACAGGAGGAGATATCATCTTTTTCTCCTGAGATCGTCCCGACTTGCAGCTACTCTGAATTTATTTCAAGTATTCCCTAGCCTGCAATGGGCAGAACAATGAAAAAAAGGAGGCAGTCAGAAAGATCTAGGGCAAAAAAAAGGGTGGGGGGGCCAGGAGGGAGCAGGCTCTTCCTGGTGGCTTTTCACAGCCAGCGGTTGTGCCGCGCAATGGTGCTGGAGAGGACGCCTCTTGTGGCTCATGAGGACAGGCTGGCAATTTGGATAGACAGCCAGGGCATTAAAAACTGAAGCTCAGGGCAGGCGGGGCAGGCCTCCTCTGCCCCCTTCTCTCCTTCCCCTCCCTCCACGTTCAGCTCCCAGCTGCTGCTGCTCTGCCTGGGGTGGGGTGGGGGTGTCCCCGCCACCCTCTCCCTTGGGAACACTCAGCCCGATTGCCCCATGCAATAGTGGGGTGGGCTTTCCCAGGGCTGCTTCCTTGGTGCAATGGAGCAACTCCCTGTCCTGGCCACAGGTTCACTCGTGTTGGGGGGGGGGGAGTCAGCTGTGGTCAGCCGTGCCCCTCTCTCCGTGTGCTGCAGCTGTGCTTCTGTTGTAGTGCTCTTTATTTCCTCATCTCTCATTTATGCAGCCCCCTCCCACCCCCCATGGGTTTCATTTGCATAGAGTGTGACATTTTGGCCTTTTGTGGTGTGTTTCTGACTCTCTGTGCCTTCCCTTTTTTTGTGTTTTTGTTTCTCCCGCTTCTCCTCAGTTTGCAGCTGGGCCGCGACCTGCCCACCACCAGGTACTGTACCCTCCTTGACTCCCCTAGCCCCCCTCTCTTTATCCCTCTACTGCAGACTGGTTGGGGGATGGGAATGGGGAGGGCATTCTGGCTGGCTGGCCCTCCTCCTAATTCTCAATAAATGCTCTTTGGGAAACACCTTAACCTCAGGCTCTGGGCTGCCTCCCCTTTCTAACAGCTATTAATTTCTTGCTTTCCTGCCCCCTAACGGCCCCTCTTCCACATGTCCTGAAGAAGGTGGTCTCAGCGCTCTTTGGTGCTTATGAGACCCTTTAAACTGCTAGGTTCTGCCAACCTAGTAGTTCGAGAGCACGTAAAAAATGCAAGTAGAAAAATAGGAACCACCTTTGGTGGGAAGGAAACAGGGCCATTTCCGGACTTTTGGAACCTCCAGTTGGCCCATTTTCCCTCCTCTCCCTGAGCCTCCATGATGAGCGGGCCGCGTGGAGACTCTTGGGAGGGGTGGGCGTGGCCAGCCAGGGGTGACATTTGGGGGTTCGCCAAACTGAGCTCCTGTTACTTGTCCCGGCTCCTGCCAACCTAGCAGTTAGAAAGTACGTAAAAAATGCAAGTAGAAAAATAGAGACCACCTTTGGTGGGAAGGAAACAACGTTCCATGCGCCTTTGACGTTTACTCATGCCAACCACATGACCACGAAGACGTCTTCGGACAGGGCTGGTTCTTCGGCTTTGAAACGGAGATGAGCACCACCCCCTAGAGTCAGGAACGACTGGCACATATGTGTGAGGGGAACCTTTTCCTTGAGAGGATGGCAGGGTTCCTAGTCTACGGAGTGAGGAGACTTGAGCCCCAACCTACATTTCATAGCAAGCTGCTCTTCTGTTCCTCCGCTTTGTGTCAGATCAGGATGTGTCCCTGCGGGATTGGGGAGGGTTGGGTTGTGTCTAATACACAAGAGGTGCAGCCGGCGCTGCTGAATTGCAGTTTGGAAAGCTGGGCCCTGGTCTTACGGAGCCAAGACCGGCAAACCTGATAGCCAAAAGTGTCACCTGAGGCTGGTGTTCTGGCCTGAACCGAGCATCTGTGAGCCTCGCGCGAGAACTGGTGAGGATTGTGAGATCCGGCACGGTTCAATTTTGGTCACCTCTTTATTTGACGCCTAATATTGGGGTTCCATGGGTGCCACCCAGGATTGCCGCTTGGCTGGATTCTTTAAGTGGTCTGGAAGAGAGAGAGAGAGAGAATGTCCAGAGGGGCTTCTCCAAACCCCCCTCCTCTCTGTGCCCCCACTTCTGTGTCGTTGAAGACTAGGAAAGGACCACTCGGGCCATTGCACGTTGAGGCTATCTCGGCTGAGCTGCCCCTCCCCGGGAATGGGTGGAGAGTCAGAGATCCAGTACCATAGAGAAGGCTGCCTCTTGACCCCTTGAGGTCTCCTTGATGGGCGCTTGATGGATTACATGTGATCTTCATGGACCACAATGAAATGAAAACACAGAAGTCATTAAAGGCAGTCTGGTCCCAGAACTGGATGTTAGCAGAAAGTGTATCACAAGTAGAAGTTCAGAGTCCTGTTAATGTCTCTCCCGCTCTGTGTGTGTGTGGGGGGGGTTGTGCAGGGCAGAGACCTGCCAAGTGCCAATTAATATGCTGGCCATAATAGATGCCCAGTGCTGTTGTCAGGATCTCCGGGCCTCAACCGGTCCCCGTAAGGCCAAAAGCGATGGCTTTTGGGCAGTGAGGTCATCAGACCAATGGCTGCTGCAATCATTTTGTCATTTGACACCCCCACCGCAAAAAAATGCCCATAAACTCTGGTTCGGTTTGATCAATGTTGGCTGAGTGTTTGTGGGGGAACACACGTACAAACACACGGTCTTGTGGATCCTCCCAGAGCCTTTTGCTCATTGCCTTTCTGTGCCCCTGGCTTTGCCTTTGGTGGTGTCTGCCGTGACGTTTGAGCTGATTTGCACCTTCTCCTGCAAATCCCTTGCAGGCAACTAGCGCATCGGGACGCGCAACAAGAAGCTGTTAAGAAACAACCATGAGTGGGCCGGGGTGGGGGGAGAATGAACCATTACGGGTGACAAAAGCAGGGGGAGCCTAAAATCGATGCTTCCTAGGAAGACTGCTTCCCCACAGGTTGAGAGGAGTCGGACAAAGACTGCCAGATCTGGGGGTTTCTCATAGCTCCCCATTTGCTTGAATTCCAATCAGTCAGCCCCTGTATTTGTCAGCGGCTAAGTGGACGCATCCTGCAGTTTGAAATGCAGTCCCGGCCTTGTCATGTTGGGGAGAGGAAGGGGATGATCATTGTCCTCCTCTCCTGTTTTTTCCTCGCGTGCAGGTAGTCCTCGACTTATGACCACAACCAAGCCCAAAAACCTCTTTTGCTAAGTGAAGCGATTGTTCTGTAAATTTTGCCCCGTTTTGCAATCTTTCTTGCCACGGTCGTTAAGCAAATCTGGCTTCTCCGTTGACTTTGCTTACGTCCGAAGGGGATCACCCGACCCCGGGGCACTGCGACCATCATAAATCGGAGTCATACTGCCAAGTATCTGAATTTTAATCACGTGACCGCAGAGGGATGTTGCAACGGTTGTGAAAGCATGAAAAAAAACCTGATTGTCAGCCATTTTTTTCCCCACTGATGTTATAACTTCGAACGGTCACTGCTGTAAGTCGAGGATTACATGTCAGGTTTCCGAAAGATGCCCTAATTAACTTACGAGCCTCCAGCCAAGTTTCCAAAGAAATCCAGTCATTTATTATTACTTGATAACAGACATGGAAATGCTTTACAGGTTCACACCTGCATTAGACAACCAATAGATGAGTGCTGGGTGAGGGAAGGGGAAACAGGCAGAAACATATACCGTATTTTTCAGAGTATTAGGTGCACCTTTTTCCTTCAAAACAGAGGGTGAAAATCTGGGTGCGTCTTATACACTGAATGCAGCATTTTTTTGCCTCCCGAAACCCCAACCCCTTTGCAAAAATGGCTGTGCATAGCCTTTAGGAGGCTTCCAGAATGCTCCTGGGGCTAGGGAGGGCAAAAATGAGTGAAAAACAGGTTGGTTTTGCTAGTTTTTGCTCCCCCAGCCCCCAGAAGCACTCTATAAGCCTCCTAAAGGCTATGCATGCCCTTTTTTGACCAAAAATGGGACCGTTTTGCAGAGTGCTAAAACTTTTTATTTGCCTCTTCAAAATCTTGGTGCATCTTATACTCCGAAAAATACGGTATCTTTTCTGCGTCTATGTTTTCATGGAGCGGAACAGAGCTTTCT